TCCAGCACCACCCCCTGCACCTGCTCGACTGCGGCAGCAGCAGTGCCACGCTCCCGCCCTCCTCCCGCCGCAGCCGAACCCGAGGGCGATGGCGCGGACGACGATGCGCCCATGGAAACCCTCGACGAAGGTAACGCCGCTCGTCTCAAGTCCGGTTCTACCGCCTCAAATCTTGCTCCTATCCCTCTTGCACGTCCTCAGTTGCGTTCTTCTTTGGTAAAAAGTGACGGCACTCGAACCCAACTTTTTAGTTTCGAGCGTATCCAAGCTATTGCTCGGCTCGCGCTCTCCGCTTGCCCCCTAGTGGTGGCGAGTTAGCCGCCGACTATCTCCAGCAGATAGTCGAGGAGGCGGAGGAAAAGATTCATTTCTTATTCACCGCAGATCAACGCGGTTTTTAAGTGGCCAATATGGCCCTAAAGATTAAATATGGGGAGGTGGTGGAAGATAAAAACGTTAAGGCTGTTATAATCACAATAGGCTTAGATGTGCCTATAATGAGAGATAGAGAGCACAGTCGGATTTCTGTCAGACGGCTTCAAATACTGATAACGATCTGGTCACTGAATCAAACGGTGATGTGTAAATTGGATCTGGAGCGTGTTGCTGTCGTCTATCAGCAGCAAGTTGAATCATGAAATTCCATGAAGATTTGACGACGCTATGGCGGTTTGACTGGCAGGAGGTATAGCAGCCACAATAGTCTTAGGAGTACAAACTTAGCAAGAAGAGTTCGAGAGGGAGATGGTTCCCAGCCTCTACATACCCCAAGAGCCGAGGTCCAGGTTGGTGGTACACCACCACAGGGTCCCCAACCATGAAGAGTCTCGAAACCAACCCTCCAAGGGGCTACACCAAGTGAAATGTAACACTACACGAAGTAACGTTACTATTTTCACTATTTAATATTTATCCGCGTCCCTTGGGCTTGAAATCTTGAGCTCTTGTTCCTGGATCTGCAAGATAAATTCTTCTTGAGTTGATGGGGGCTTGCTGCACACACCTGCGACACGATCGACACTTCACACTCGACAAAATAGAAAAAACACATGCGACACACAAACGACGACTTGACATGCGAGTTGTAAAAACTTGCTAATGTCTTGACCGACACAAACCACATTGTGATACACCATTCAAACACACACACAAGCACTGGATAGCAATGACATAGACTCACAATTCATTCCATGCCATGCATGCACACACACAAACAAGGACGACAAGCCGAGTGCAAGCCATAGGGTTGCACCAACAAACTCCCCCTCGGATTGTTGGCCTTAGAATCTGCTCCCCTTAGTTCAGAGCCATCCCAGCAAGCTTGCAACACTTCCAATGCTGCTGCTCAACCAGCCTCTTGGTCATCATATCAGCTGGCTGCGCCGTCGTCTTCACGTAGTGCAACTCCACTTCACCCGCGGTTACCATGCTCCTCACCCAATGCCACTTCACCTTCATGTGCTTGGTAAGGCCATGAAGAACGGGGTTCTTAGCCAATGCAATAGCACCCTGGCTATCACAGTAGAGTGGGGTAGGTCCTTGCTGCTCCTCCCCCAATTCAGCTAGCAAACGCCGCTGCCACACAACCTCTCTTATGGCACGGAAGAGTGCCATGTACTCGGACTCCACCGAGCTCAATGCTTGGTCCACTTGCTTCTTGCTCTCCCAAGCTGTTGGCCCTCCACCAACACAGCAGATGAAGCCTCCCACACTTGTCATGTCCTCTGGTTCTGATGCCCAAGATGCATCAGAGAAGGCGGTGAGAAAAAGCCTCCCGGGTTCGACTCCATCCGCACCCTTTTGACGCCTTTGTGCCGCCGCGGAGTATTGCAGTCCAACAGTTGCTGTTTGGCCAAGGTACTTGGCCACTCTCTCTCCAGCTGCTACCTGCTCTTCATTAGGGCATTGGACAACCCTAGCCAGCTGCCCGGTAGCAAAGGCTGCATCCGGCCTTGTGTGAACGGCCGCATACATGAGGCTGCCCACCAAGGAGTGAAAACGGCGCCTCTCCTCTTCACCAACACTTTCCTCCGCTGGTCCTTTCACACACTTGAACCCTGAGGGAAGAGGAGTAGCCACATGACCTTCACTCTTCCCAAAGTTTGCAGCCAAGGCCTCCAAGTACTTCTTTTGATGCACTCGCATCCACCGCTTCTCCACATCTCGCTCAATGTGAAGCCCAAGGTAGTAGTTGACGTCACCAAGGGTCTTGCACTTGAACTTGTCTTGAAGCTTCAGCATCACCTCCTTCACAAGGTCAGAGGAGGGTGAGAATATAAGGATGTCATCCACATAAACCACCATGAAGCTCCTCTGCTCCCCCTCGCCAAGCATGAACAACGATTGATCGGCCGTTGAGGGAGTGAAGCCGATCGCCTCCAAAACTTCCCGCAGCTTGATGTACCATTGCCTAGGGGCTTGCTTGAGGCCATAGAGTGCTTTCTTCAGCTTCCACACTCTGCCACTCCCATCATTGTACCCCTCTGGCTGCTCCATGTAGGTTTCTTCCTCCAAAACGCCGTTGAGGAAGGCCGTTACGATATCCATTTGCTTCACCACCCATCCTTTGATGGCCGCCGCGGCGAAGAGGGTTCGAAGGGTTGTACCCTTCACCACAGGAGCATACACTTCATTGTAGTCCTTCTTCTCTTGCTGCTGATACCCCTTGGCTACAAGTCTGCTCTTGTAGCGCTCGATGTTGCCGTCGGCGTCGGTCTTGCGCTTGAAGAGCCACTTGGAAGAGATCGCCTTACGCCCCGGAGGTAGGTTCACCAAGTCAAACGTGTCGTTCTCGATGATGCTCCCCATTTCTTCATCTGAGGCCTTCTTCCACTCCTTCCCATTGGGGCCCTCCCAAGCCTCCTTGGGATTTGTAGGCTCCCCCGGCATCTCCACCGGAGAGAAGAAGGCAAAGGCGCACTCCTCGCTTTCATCTTCCGCATCATCGCCTAGCATGAGAGCCGAACCGGTCAAGGTTGAGTTGGCTGGTCTTCCAAGCCGATCATAGCTCAACCTATTAGGGGGCTGAGTTCTCCTTCTCCCCCTTCCTTCCTCCTCTGCTGCAGGGACTTGAATGCTCTCATGGCATTGCGGTAAATCTGGTCGGTTCCCACGAGCACTTGTAGCACGAGGCGGAAGTGACGGTGCACGCTCATCACCTTGCTGCACCTCCTCCTCCTCTTCATCCCCATTCATTTGAGGAGATTGCCTCGTGACTGTGCTGCTGCTACTCAGCTCCAAGGGCAGCTCCACATGCTCCAAGCCGTTACTCTTCACCTCTCCAAGCCGCATACCAATCTTCGCTTGGTTCTCCGCCTTCCACTCCTTGTACGGTAAGTTCTCCATGAACTTGCAATCTCTGCTCACCAAGAACTTCTTGGTAAATGGGTCCCAAAGAAGCCATCCCTTGCTGTTTTGAGCCATGCCCAGGTGCACGGCCCATGTTGCCTTGGCATCAAGTTTGTTGTGCCGAAGTTTCTTAGGCACAAGTGCCATGCACATGCACCCGAACACCCGAAGCATATCCACCTTCGGCTTCCTTCCAATCCACTCCACATAGGGCACCCATTTGTCTTCTCCCACATGAGTCAAGGCTCTGTTCTTGGCCACACAAGCATGCCGCACCGCATCCGGCCAAAAGTAATTGGGAAGACCGGCTTCAATGAGAAGTCCCCGAGCCGTCTCCGTGAGTGTCCGATTCGCACGCTCGGCGATGCCGTTCATTGCAGGAGAGTAGGGCATGGTAAGAGAGTGCCTTATGCCCTGCTTCTTCAGCCAAGTTGAGAAATCCTTGCTCAGGAACTCTCCCCCACGGTCAGTGCGAATCGCCTTCACAAGTCGGTCTTGTTGCCGCTCCACCATCGGCAACCAATCGGTCTTCACCGTTTCAGCTACGTCACTCTTCTTTGGCAGCACATACACCCAAGTCATGCGAGTGTAGACGTCCACAATGGTGAGGAAGTACGCAGCTCCAGCAGCTCCAAGCTTCAAGGGGCCCACCACATCCATCACCACCTCATCAAGTGGTGCCTTCGCCGTTGTCTCCGAGCTATGGAACGGGTAGCGGGTGAACTTGGCTTGCATGCATGTTGGACAGCCAAGCACCTCATTGGGCTCCCCCTTGACACGTATCCCACTGACCATCTCTTGCTTAACTATCTGCTGCAAAATGGGCAATGCCACATGCCCCATTCGCCGATGCAAGGTCAGCCAATCACACTCTCCCGTAGCGGAAGTCGGGTTGGAGAAAGCGGCACTCGCAATCGTGTCCCACAAGCTCTCTCCTTTCTCCTTCGCCGCTGCTGCTTTGCTGATCTTAGGTTTCCCCTCCTCATTTCCACCACCTTTGGCTGCTGCACTACTCTCCTTGGGTTCACACGCCTTGCTGGTCTCTCCAAGATTGCACTCCTTCGAGTCACTCTTGGTGTCACTTTGTTTTCCGTGATCACCGCCACCATCCGCTTCACTCTTGGTGCTGACGCTTGCTGCCACTTGCCTCTCCTTAGGCATGGGGACCACTGGGATTTGCCACATCTCATTGTAGATGTCCCTGTCCTCATGAAGGTCCCAAAGCTTCCGCTCACCAAGCCTCGCGGTATATGTTTTCGAACCCTTGGAAGATGTGTCCATGCCGGCCTTTTGCAAACGCCGAACGGAAATCAGGTTGGCTGCTAGGTTGGGCACCAAAAGCACGTTCTTGAGGCCCACCATCTTCCCATCAGCACCCTTGAACATGGCCTTGCCCATGCCTTTCACCTCTGCTCGCTGTCCCAAAGCCGATGTAACATGCTTGACCGGCGACGGTTCGAGTTCGGTGAGCAAGTCCGCACGAGGTGTCATGCTATAGGTGGCGCCGCTATCGATCACCCAAAAGTCCAGAGAGTGAAGGGTGACCTTTCCCACAGTAGCTGGCTCCTCAAAGCCTTCCACACCTCCTGCTGCAGCTGCCGCTTGCGTGGAGACAAAGAAGAATTGGCCCGGGTATCGATCTTCACTCGAGTCCTTGTCGTAGTCTCCACCTTTCATGCTTGCCGCTTCGCCTCCACGGCCACCACGGCCTCCACGACCTCTGCCTCTTCCTCCCCTTGCTCCTCTGCCCTCTTGGCCTTGAGAGGGGGTCCAGCCATCAGGTAGTTTGAAGCAATCTCTCCACATGTGGCCGGTCTTGTGGCAAAAGTGGCATTCGCCATCAAATCGACCGCGCCCACGCCCGTAGCCATTGTTGTTGCTGCCATATCCTCCATTACCACGGCCTCCATTGAAGTTGCTGCTGCCAAATCTGCCTCCTCGCCCTCTGCCCCTTCCACGGCCGTGCCCACGGCCCATGCTTGCAACTCCGGCACCATCGGGACCCGCCAATTCGCGACGGCGGAAATCTTCTTGTAAGATTTCCCGCTTCACATCTTCGAGTGAGAGACGGGGCAGATCTCGATTAAGGTTGATGATGAGCGAGGACCATGAGTCCGGAAGTAAGGCTAGCAGCTTGGTCTTCTTTTGAAGGTCACTGTAGTTCAGGTCAGCTCCTTCGAGCCGTGTCAACAAGTCGAAGAATTTCTGCACTCCTTCCTCCACCGGTTCGCCTTCGTCAATTCGAAGTGCCGCCATTTGCCGCTCCAAAACCACAGCCACCGCCGCTGTTGCAGGAGCGTGTACACCCTTGAGAGCAGCCCATGCCTTTGGTCCCTTTGCTGGTTCACGCTGAAAAGGCTTGATGTGACGGATTTGGCTGCTCCCCAACGCTTGCCCAAGTAGAAGGTAGCCTTGTGCGCTCTTCCGCACCCACGGGCTCTTCTCCGGGTCGTTCTCGGGGTACTTCTCCGTTCCTTCCATCACCTCCAGCAGATCATAATGGTCAAAGATGTTCTCCATCTTGAAGGACCACTCAGCAAAGTTGTCACCGTTGAACTTGTCAAGGCCAAACACTCTAGGCTCATCCCTAGAGGGTCCAAGGCTAGGTTGCACCGGAGCAACGGGTGGATCTTGGTGTTGACCTTGTGCTTGGGCGTCTTCTCTGCCTCCAACACCTCTGCCACCCCCTTCCTCAGGCCTAGGCATGGTCGAGACAGCTCCAAGGGGCTCTGATACCACTTGTTATAATCACAATAGGCTTAGATGTGCCTATAATGAGAGATAGAGAGCACAGTCGGATTTCTGTCAGACGGCTTCAAATACTGATAACGATCTGGTCACTGAATCAAACGGTGATGTGTAAATTGGATCTGGAGCGTGTTGCTGTCGTCTATCAGCAGCAAGTTGAATCATGAAATTCCATGAAGATTTGACGACGCTATGGCGGTTTGACTGGCAGGAGGTATAGCAGCCACAATAGTCTTAGGAGTACAAACTTAGCAAGAAGAGTTCGAGAGGGAGATGGTTCCCAGCCTCTACATACCCCAAGAGCCGAGGTCCAGGTTGGTGGTACACCACCACAGGGTCCCCAACCATGAAGAGTCTCGAAACCAACCCTCCAAGGGGCTACACCAAGTGAAATGTAACACTACACGAAGTAACGTTACTATTTTCACTATTTAATATTTATCCGCGTCCCTTGGGCTTGAAATCTTGAGCTCTTGTTCCTGGATCTGCAAGATAAATTCTTCTTGAGTTGATGGGGGCTTGCTGCACACACCTGCGACACGATCGACACTTCACACTCGACAAAATAGAAAAAACACATGCGACACACAAACGACGACTTGACATGCGAGTTGTAAAAACTTGCTAATGTCTTGACCGACACAAACCACATTGTGATACACCATTCAAACACACACACAAGCACTGGATAGCAATGACATAGACTCACAATTCATTCCATGCCATGCATGCACACACACAAACAAGGACGACAAGCCGAGTGCAAGCCATAGGGTTGCACCAACAAAGGCCACCACACAAATTGTGGCGGCCAGCAAAAAGAGACCTACTAGACCCACCACCTCAACATCCCGCACCGATCCCCCCCCTCGTAGTAGGGGTGAAGACGCACGTACTTGGAATACGTGGCGTCGGGATGGCGACGGTCGATGCTTTTATTGTCGCGAACCCGGTCATGGGTTTAAAGATTGTCCTCGCCGAGGCCAAGGGGCCAACCGGCCGGCTAAGATTGTCTAGAGGCTTTGATGGCCGATTCTTTGTAAAACCTTGATGCTATAAATCTATTATTTCATGTTAAAGATTGATGTTGTGCCAATTGGTGATCGAGCATGCGGCTCAAATCCGCTTCGAATATAGCACGGCAATATGCTATTCAATATTTGCGTGCAAAAAAAAAAAAAACAAACAAACAATAAGAACAACAACAAGTACAACCCCAAAAAAGGGAGTAGGGGGAAGCATGAGAACGGCATAAGTGCCGAAAAAGAAAGGCAGTCCAAAAGGTACAAAACACATGTGGAACATTGGAACACGCACCTCCGACCGATGAAAGCATGACAAAGATTGTAACATTGCTAGTGCGCACACTGCGAAAAGTGTTGCCTTCATTCTTGCTTTCGCTTCGACTATTTCAAGCACACTTCTCACGCTACGCATGCTTCGGCAAACGTATTTGTACAGTCAAGAACGATAACTTACATTCGGCCCTTGCGACTTTTTTATTGTACTTGTTCGTCACCGCCCCTCACCAGAGCTTAGCTCCTTCGCCGTACATGTTGCCACATCGGGTGATACAATCCGTATGCGAGGACGCCTGCGTGCCTGCTTTGCATGGTGGTCCGGTTTGTGCGATAGCCGCTTCATGCTATCGGTCCTCGCGTCAGGCTACTGCCTTCCCTGGGCTTCTTCAGAGCCTACAGTGCGGCATGCCTCAAACCATGCCAGGGCACTCCAATTCCACACATTCGCGGTGGAGGTGGTGGACGAGCTCCTCGCTACGGGAGCGGCCCAGCTCGTTCCTCCATCGGAGCCACTCTCATGCATCAGCCCGCTTAACGTAGTCGTCCAACCTTCCAAAAAGAGGCTCATATTGGACCTCCGCCACGTGAATTCATTTCTTTCTGTCCCCCGTTTTCGCTACGAGGGCTTGAATCGGGTGCCCGACTTGGTGCAGCAAGACGATTGGCTATTCACCATCGATCCAAAATCCGGCTACCACCATGTGGATATCCATCCCTCGTATTGGCGTTTCCTTGGTTTTACACTCCAAGGGCAGCGCTACCAGTTTCTATCATTGCCTTTTGGTCTAGCTACCGCGCCGTTCGTTTTTACTCAGCTGATCAAGCAACTCGCAAAACGCTGGCGCGGACGCGGCATCCGACTTATCCCATACGTCGATGACATTTTGTTCATCAACGCTACTCGAGCCAAGGCCCTTTGCCACCGTGCCGTCATTTTAGCGGATCTTCAGTCAGCTGGCTTCGCTGTCAACTTCAAGAAGTCGCAGCTCGAACCAACCCAGTGCCTAAAGTTTTTGGGCCTCCTACTGGACACTCGCACCACGTCTTTCTCCGTCGATGACGGCAGACACGAGCGACTCTTCGCCGAACTTGAGCAAACATGTGCACTTAGCACGCAAGGGCGGCCTATCCCAGTCCGTCGGGCCGCTCGCATCACTGGCTTGCTAGCCTCCATGGCGCTCGCACTTGGCACGGTCGCGCGTGCCTTCTCCCACAATCTTCTTTCTCAGATCTTTGAGTGTCACTCTTGGGGGGCGTCAATTCTCTTGACACCCAATTCTTTCGACGAGTTGCGTTTCTGGCTCACCCAGTTCGATGTCTTCAATGGATCGCGCTTCCACAATCCTCATCTCTACGACGTCGTAATGTATGTGGATGCCAGTGATCGCGCATGGGGCGCGTTTTTTTCAGCGCCAGATGGCGACACCGGTTCGCATGCTTCACCACTCCCCCGGGCCCTCATCTTTTCATCCAGCACGCTCCACGAACTTGCTGGCATCCTTTGGGCACTGTCAACCTTTCTTGATAAGGTCCGACGCTCGCACGTCCTGCTCCGCAGTGACAGCCAAGCGGCCTATTACATTATGAAAAAGGGGGGTTCCCGCCGGCTTGATTTGACTCTGATATGCCGAGCTATTATCCACCTTTGCGTGCGCCACCAAATTCGGCTCACAGTCCAGTGGATCCCACGCACCCTTAATACAGAAGCCGACGCGCGCTCCAAGTTGGATCTTTCGACGATTACTCTCTCGCACGACCTTGGTTCCTTCTGCTAGAGAGGCGTTGGGGTCCTCATACTATTGATTTGTTCGCTTCCCCGGCTAATGCGCACCTGGCTCGTTTTTGCTCGCTCGAGCTCTCTCACGCGGTAGTCGCGCAGGATGCGTTTTCTCTTAGCTGGTCGGGCGACAACTGCTACGCCTTTCCTCCCCCACCCCTGATCCCCGCTGTCCTCGCTCACGCCCGCCGCTCACGCACCTCGCTCACCCTTGTAATCCCGCATTGGCCTAGCGCCTTTTGGTGGCCACTATTATGCTCTGACGGTTCCTCTTGGGCCCCCGCTGTGGTCGCAACCATTCGCCTTGCTCCCGGCTCTAGTTGTTTGCGCATTGGTGGCGACCATTGTGCCTTTAGCGGTGCAGGTCTCCCGAACTCATTGATGTACGCGCTTCGCTTGCTATTCACTAATACATAGCGCTGTGCCTCTGCGCAGATTCCTACCTCGGCCGCTTACTTTTGGATCTCTTGACGCTTACAGTCGATCTTCGTGCACAGTCTACTCTTCGAACATACGAGCCCTACTGGCGACAGTATCGGGCCTTTTGTACCGCGCACTCGCTTCCTTTTCTACCTGCCAGCGACCTTACAGCAGCACTGTTCCTGTTGCACTCGATCCGCGGTGGCGCCACTATTTCAGCAGTGCGATCCGCATGTTCTGCCATCTCATGTGCCCATTGGCTGGTCGGCCTTCCTTCTCCTATTCGCGGCCCGTTATCTTCCCAAGTGAAGGAGTATGCACAATGCCACTGCGGCAGGCCCGCTCGAGCTAAGGAGCCGATACCACCCGAAAAAATCTACGATATCTGCGGCGACCTTCCAGAAGGGGCTGATCCCTCTCCTCATGTTTGCAGCCTTTCTGCGCTTCTCTGATCTGATATCCCTCCAGTGGCACCAGATTGAGTTTGACCGGGACTGTATGTGGTTGTTCATTCCCCGCTCCAAGACCGATCAGGCGGGTACTGGTGCATGGATTCCTGTGGCTGCCTCCTCCGCTCGCCACTGCCCCGTCTCTCGCGTCCAGCAATTCCTATTCCTCGCTGGGTACTCCGCCCAGTCTCTCGGCCCCCTCATCCGTGTGTTTCAGCCGGGCTCTAGAGCTTCCCCTTCCGATCGCTCCCCTTCGTATGCCACCATTCGGAGTTGGTGCCGGGATTCCTTCTCTCGGGTCGGACTCAATCCTGATGTCCTTGGCACACACTCGTTTCGCAAGTCCGCGCCCACCACGGCCGTTGATATTGGTGTTCCTGATTGGCTCTTTAAGGCCCTCGGCCGCTTGCGCAGCGACACGGCTAAGGAACGTTATGTCACCCAGCTCGATCGCGAGCTTATCGCTGCCTCACGGACCCTTCAGGACCCTCTCCGCTCCAGTCCAACTGCTCTATATGCAGCCACGCTTGAGCTGTCAACTTATACATATTATCTATGTAGAAGTTATAGGCTAGACTGAGGTATGCTTCTAGTGAGTACAACCAACTAGTATTTGTTCTAGGTTTCCACTTTTAGTTATCATTTCGTTTCTACGTTAACATGGGATCACGCTTAGGTTAGGATCCCCCCGCCTACCGCTTCCGCCCGTCGCGCCTCCTAGGCCCCGTCGCGCCCCCTAGGCCCCGTCGCGCCCCCCCTGGGCCCCGTCGCGCTCGTTAGGCCCCGTCGCGCCCCCCCTGGGCCCCGTCGTGCCCGCTGGACCCCGTCGCGCCTCCTAGGCCCCGTCGCGCTCCCCCTGGGCCCCGTCGCGCCCGCTGGGCCCCGTCGCGACCCCTAGGCCC